CGTTAAACGTCCAGCTCGGTCAGTGATGGGTCTATTTTTAGGAGCAACAGGAGTCATGGATGCTCGAGAACACTACTACACGATGATCACTGACGTTGCGCTACGTCTACCTTGTCAGATGAGACGAATACTGAGTGATGTGAAGTTTGACGAAAGATGGCAACGAATCCTCTGCGAGGTATTTGTCGGTTTTAGCTCGAATGAGATTCCACAGGCATTCAGTTTGAGTTCCCATAAGATGCGTCTGCTCAGCATCCTTCATTTTCAAATACATACATATTCTATATTATTTTGTTACAGTTTTAATTCAAAATTTCTCGCCGTTTAGCTGGTTTCCTACCAACACGCTCCACAGCTTCGCAGACAGAGTAAGAAGGTTCTTTTGGCGATGTTCAATGGAGACAAGCAGAAATATCGTGAAGTACGCGATCCAGCATATGATGCGAGCACACATTGAGTTGCTTAAGAAGAAGTATACCCAGAGCAGGTAATAATCATTCCTTATAGTTAGTCCTGATTCACAACTCTAGCAGATGATATATATAATAGAAGGAATCCCATAGCAAAACTAGCAAATCGGTTGTGTAGAGCGATCATGGCTAGTTCTTAAGTTTTATTTCCCCTTCGCACCAATTTCTAATGTTAACGACATCTACACTCTCATGAACTCATGAATTGCTTACAGTGAACGTGGCTGAAGAAACCTCTCTTTTAGCAACTTCAACCATCAACAACTTACTGAAATGGTTGAGATTGTAAGCGCAGTGGCCGTGACAGCAAATCAGCGCACAGCTTTGTGGAGGAGTATTTGCGAGGAGCAGGTAGGCGTTTGATATATGTATATTTTATACCCAATAGTGAAAGAGCGCTTTGAGAGGAACTTTTTAGCTTAACTGGCTCCTGCAACTAGCTTGTCGGGTGGCCGATGCGGTTTCATGCAGTGTAGTAGACTTACTGGTATCGGCAATTCGTGAAACTCCCGGACATCAGGGTGAAAACATCCATCTGGCTGACAAGTGAGTGGTGATTTTTTTTTGGTTCCATTGCTTTCATTTGTGCAGGTAAGATCACACCTACCACCAGTGTCTTTCAAAGGATTAGTGCCTTGTAGACATAGATTATTTTATGATCACCAGACGTGGTGTCAGATGAGAAGGCACTACTGCTGGCTAATCCTAGGCCCCACCAGTGCGACACAACCAACCGGGTGGTGAAGGCAGGCTCGCTTCACCAAACACTTTGAATAATTCTAAAATCTTTTGAAGCGTGCTCCTGTGATGACCTAGTACAGGCATTGCCATGACAAAGCGGTGTTCATTCTCCTGCCTGGAATCCTGCAGAGATACTGTCAGATTAACTTGTAATTTGTAGCGAAAGCGAACTGCAATTCATTGCGAGCACATTTCACAACTAATACTGGGACACCTTCTAACAAAATGTTTAGAATAATCTATGAAGAGAAGAATCGATGCCTGCTGATGATGCTACTTGTTCGTTATTTGATCGGACGTGATGAAAATAGAAGATGGTTAATGCACGGCTGCTGGGCGACATCCCAGTTGGCTAGTCGACAGAATCACCGTGATTGCCTAGGTTTTTAAATCATGACCCTCATGAATTTTATAGTTAAAGATCCGAGATTGCATTAGAGGTAGTTTGACATGCGGTTTAGCTTTTCGCGTACTCTAAAGAATCTTTAAGCTTTTTCACCATCTTTCATAAATCGAAAAATCTGAAGGTTCTTTAGACCAGGGATTTATCGGAATTTGTTGAAATTTTTGAACACAATGATCATTACGGTTTTAAGACCCTTTCGAATCTTCGTCTGAACCTATTCCAAAAAACTGTGCTCCTTGGATATCGAGCTCAGTAAAACGGAAATAGGTGGGGGAGTGTATTTAGATGACGTTACTGCGTATCTGTGAATGATTCTATGCCCCTTGCCCGAGTCTTGGGATCATCCGCACACGCTGCAAACATACTTCAAACTATCTCACCCCTATTCAGTTCAGCAGAGATGCAAGCAGTATGCGACGCTGAACTAGAAGCGATCAGTGCTACGGTTGCCAGGTTAGTGCAAAATTTTTATTTACCTTACACGTAAGCCATCCAAGGGTTGCAAGTATAGACCGAAAAGAGTCTTACCTAGAAGTTGAATCTAACACTTTCGCTTAAGGTCCCCCCAAATTCGTTCCCTTTGCTGGTGGGCGTTATGGCGCCGTGGGGTAACAGCTGTCTGAACAACTTTTACCACCTTTGGGTGTCACAATGGCATCAGTGTGGCATCCTCAAGGCAGCCACTAATCATTTTGCTCGTTTTTCAACAACAGTGATCAATCATTAAAACAGCAATATTCATCAAAATTTAGTAAGGCAAGGATAAAGTTGATTTTGCTGGTAAGTAGGTGTTCTAGGGAAGTTCTATGTTTTTGTGGTTTAGAATCGAAAAAGAAGGCCATGCCGGTTGGTATCGCCAGATGACAGGACTCGGATTAGGATGGAAGACAATGCTGATGGACACCAGTCCGTGCCTCGTGTGCTTTTCCAGAAAGGTTGGCGTGGATCAAATAATGTTCTTTCGCGATTCATTCCTGTTCATTTTGTTTTCATTAATTTCAAACCTATCCCTATTTTTCCTTTATCCGCTTCTGATTTTAACTCTTCTCTTCAGGATGTGGCGGAAACCATAAAGCTGAATTCAATCAAGCAAGAAGCACGTTTCGCCGCTAATGCGATGATGCTGAAGTTGACTTGCCACTATGAGATCAGCAAAGTGATAATCAAATTGACAGATGTGAAGCGCAATAAGATGATCAAGTAATTCTTATTTTTGTCTCTAAATGGTGGTTTCTGTTGTGACTGATTTATAAAACCCACCAATGAAAGTAATAATTTATAATCAAACAATCGCTGAAGGATTTTATCGATTACCTTAAAAGCTCTCTGATTTGTAATTTCTGGGGCTAAATCAAGAAAGGTTCTGGTGGAAAATCAGTGGAACACGAATCAAGGGATGAAAATTCAATACATGCATTTTAGCTGGGATAACTGCACTGTTATACATTTGGGTAGAGAAAAAGTGATTTTCTTTCAGACGCGTCAACCTCTTTTACTGTCCGAAAACTGTGGAGTCTGCTGTTGAATTGAAGACGTGTCCAGAACTATGGCAGCGTGCATCAACATGCAGTGTGAGTCAAGCATTACTCTTTTTACTTCTCTCAGTAGTCTTTTCAGCTCAATTTTCTCTAGTACCCTATTTACTGCGTTACATCTCTCCCGATTAAACGATTTTTTTCTTATTTTACTCACCACAATCTCGAAAAAGTAAAATTACAGCTTTTCGGAACAAAATGAAGGATGAGGCATCCAGCGTGTCAGTTCCCTATTGCTGCACTGCGCATTCCACTTTCGTTAAGACTCGTAATGTTAGAATCGGATTTTGCCAATGCAATTACTTGCTATGGTCAGCCGATGTATCAGTAATACAAATCCTGTTTTTATCCTCGTAAACTAGACTGGTACCAATTCTCCTACCCCGTACGGGTGGAGGGTTTGGTGGTTCAGATGGCGTAGTACGCAGGGTTTGACTCCCGTTGTGCACGGGTAAGCAGCTCCATTTTGCCACTACACCATTTTTCCCTTGGAACACGATATCTGCACCGGTTCTTGTTTGACGCTGGCAACGAATAAGATGATAAGATCGAACCAGCCTTTCCAGGTATCGGCCAATGACACCGAAGTCGTCTTACCACTAGCAATACCTGTGGTTACAGCTTCCCTGGTGATTCAGTTTTCGGAATTGACGGAGAGTCGTCAGAATCAGGAACTTCATTGTCCACGGTGAGTGCGGGATTTGTTCACTTTTGTTATTGTGTAGTATTCACTAATCTTGGGCTGTGTTCTTTTTCCCAGATCGACCTCAATCGCTACTTCTTTTCTTGATTTTAAAATTGAGAAGTCAGATCGGCTTGCGTCTTCACTTTTGTTTAGTCTCATCATTTGTCGAGCCATTGTCTTCTTTCAGCTGTTCATCGGTAGTGCAGCCGAATCCAGGTTTATGTGAACACTGTGGTGAGAATGTATTCCAGTGTGTGAAATGTCGTGCTATCAACTACGATGAGAAGGTTCGCTTCAGGTTTTTATATTTTTGTTTGCAGAATTGCGAACCCTGTTTTTGTTGGTATTTGGTACCTGTTATCACATCTTGGTTTGCTCTACTTACTTATTTTCGCTTCTATAAATGATTATTTAGGACCCATTCTTGTGCCAGTCGTGTGGCTTCTGTAAATATGCTCGCATGGATATTTCGTTAGTTTGTCGACCCTTACCAGGAGTTCAGCCGATAACAACTGATGCTGAGCGAGCATCTGTAAGTTACAAATAGTATTTATGTCACTTTCATAAGCATTTCTGATTCTGTTATATTTTTATTACATTCTTTGCACGCCATTCCTTCGAAATAAGGTCGAGGAAAACAGGGGATGAAAAGCAGTAGCTGTGATAATAGAATCTGATCTTGAGCATTTTTTCCAGTGCGTGGAGTCGATGGCTCGTCTGCTCTGTGAAATGGAACAAACTCGTTCTCAGTTGGCCGCTGGTCGAGCTCTCAGCGAATCTCTGTGGCTCCAGTCGCGACCATTACCTCCAATAAGCTTCCATGTAGAGAGTCCTGACGCGGCAAATGCTCTCATTGCTGCTCTCCCGCCGATAAATCATCAACAGGTGACTTTTGTCTTTTTTCCTGAAGTATTTTTTTATCTACTTTGAAAAACCTGTCGTGATGGATAAGCAAGAAAGTGAAGCGATTTTTCAGCCGGCAATTCATGCCCTACTAATGACAACAACTCATTGCAAAGCGTTGCATGAAGAATTGTGCATGCAAACGCAGCAACTGATCGCCTTCCGAGAAGAATTGCGTGGCTATGATCGCAGCGTCAAAACGGCCCCACTTCTGCATCAGGCAATCAATCAAGGATTCTATAACGCAAGGTAAGGTGGTCTCCAGTCGGATGCTCTTTCACCTTTTTGTATGTTTTTATACTACCTAATGTAAATACCATTTCGAATTACCTCATACATTCTGCAGAGGCAGTCTAGATGAAAGTCTTTCACATTTATCCTATGGCAGTGGACGATTATGACACAGCTGCCGTTGATCCTTTGAAATTGTTTCATAGCGGTCATAACCGATCACCCAATTCCAGTTCGAATTGCTTTGGATGTTTACGAGCCAGTATTCTGCACTCGCTGGCGATTCTACAAAGTTCTTGTGATGACGTGACCTGCCTAGAAAGGCTGCTGGACTCTGATATAGTTTTTGGCACCTTGGTAGGTTCTTGTTGCATTCATTTGAACTCACGTTCTTATCACCGTTCCACTTTGTTTTTGATGCCTCATTTTGACACCCATGTGTCACGAGTTGGAATCAGGCTCCAAGCGTTTTTCTTCTTGCCTTGGAATTGCGCGAATTTCGATTGAAATTGCACGAATTTGGAAGCATGCGAGTACCGTATCTACTTCCGGTCGTATGCACGACCGAAAAATGTTCACAAGCCTCTAACTAACTCCTCTGAATATGCTTCAGGTCGACTTGGCTAATAAATACGAGCCCATCAAAGAAGAAATAGAGATGTTGCTTTGTCGGTTGTCGCTTGAAAATGAAAAAGGAACAGAAAAGTATGCTCCGCTATCTACGAGTCCTCTTTGAAATAAGTACTCTTTACGAAGTGTTGTAGGTTGTGTGATCTGGTCTTGTCTGGAAAAATCAGTGGTACTGTGCTGGCTCGTTCGCTGAATACTTTCCCAGATTCGTTATGGCAGCAGAAATTCCGCGGATTACTGAAGGTGACCTAGTTTTGAAAACCTTTCAGAAGACGATGTCTGAATATTTTGTCTGCAACTGATTGTGCACTGCCTCCATGGCTGCCTTATTTATTTTCATTTTACTTTCTTCCTTTCTTTTGTTGTATACGCAATGTATGCAGAGCGCAATGAAATTCAACGATCATGACACGACACTGGCTGCTCTGACAATAATTGATAAGTGCTTGGTGGATGCGAAACCGATTCGGAAGAGGATTTATCGGAAACTGCAACAAAGGAGGCGAGGAATTTCCACTGAGATATCTCAGGTAGCAACCATTTGGTTTTTGTATACTTTTCAACGAGCATTCATCAGTTATTCTTTAAGAATCTTCTTGACCGCCGTCGTATAAAGATAGCTAATCATGATGTTGGGCCGACTGCGCAATCATTGCGATTGCTGTCGGAAGTGGATACAGTAACAGCACCTGTCAAGCACCTCCAAGTAAAAAGCCCAGATTGCGTGGAGACTGTGCACCGGATACTAGCAAGGTTTGCGAATGCAAACTGAGTTTTACTGAGCATAAAAAACTCATTTCAGGAGCATGATGCATGGTTATGGCGTTGTTTGTTTTCACCATGATTGCTGTCCCGACTGTCTGCGCAATATCATCGAGCTGACCGCAGCCCAACTATGTCACTAATTGCAACATGCATTTTACTAGTTGTTATTGTGGCGAAAGGTAAAGTGATCACCGTCGACCGCATCTCTGAACGCTACCACATAATTTACTCCTTCCCTGAGAGATTCCTCGAGTGTGTCCATCATTCTCTGCTCGATGTTCCCTTAGCCGCACCTCTCTAAGACTATCTGCGTGCCTGAGAACCCAATAACGCCACACTCTAATATTTCTGCCAGTGAAATTTGACTTTAACGGACCTTGATCTATTCTTTGAAGATCGGAAGTGTGGTTGTTCACAAATCTTGCTTAAAGCGAGAGATTACGATAAAGTGCGTATGCAGCGTGGAAGTACATGCACCATTGGAAGCAGTAGTCAGGGGCCCAAGGAAACGAAATGTTGCGTTTTTGTGGTCAAAGGTGCGCTAGTTGCAGCGTACAAGGCTTGCCATTCCTTTCTGAGCCCCGCCACGGTCTGTGCTCCGCCCCCAGCAGCAGCGCCCTTCGATTGCCAATGTGACGAGATATTCCACTTCCAGAGTGTATACCTATAACTTTTCATGGGATGCGTGATCAATCAAAGCATGATGCTTGCTGAAATGATAGAGGCTATCAGCATCCCCCATTTTTGTGGTCCGAAGCCCATTGGTAGCATTCCCAGTACCGCGCACATGTGCCTTCCCGCGTAAGTGGGGCGCAGAACCGTCCATAATACGCAAGGATCAGAACATCTCCCCTTCACGTGAGCACCGACTTGACCCAACAATATATTGTCGTCCCGAACCAGTTACTGGGCAGTTAACTTACGAACGGCATATGTTTTGTGCATGCTTTTTTGTCATTGCCTCGTGAACGAAAAGTTATTATGCCATTTTGCCCGTACCTTGGATCCCTAATGAAACAAATATCTTACTGGATACTTCCCGCCACCTAAGCTGAGAACACAATTCATTCAATATATTCGTCGTCCGTATTTTTAGTGTAAATATGAGCCCACGTGTAGCCCTCTTAACGTTCAAGTGCTTTTCCTACGTGATAGATTTCCTGTGATTGTGCACACCCTTGCTGTATTGAAATAAATAAATAAATGATAAACATGTGCAAACGACCTCCTAATTGGTTGCTAGCTCGTCCATTATCGGAGGTCAACGGGCAAAGAAAGGGGTCCCATTTTGCGCCTTCTTGACGGATTTCTTTGCTTTTTTCGCCACTGGGGCATTATTCAGCATCTCCACTTCCACTATGAACCCAGTCCAAACTTATCGTAATCCCTCGCTTTAAGCAAACACTGGCACATCTGATACTTCCGCCACCTTTTTCACATTCATTCTTGAGTGAACCAAGTTTACACCAGTTTTTTGAACAGAAAGCGAATTAATGTAGGGAAAGTGCAAGGAATATGATGGATGGCAGCATTTGATTCCTTTATTCTTTGTTGAAAATTTCAGCCCATGCTTATAGGGACACCTTGGTGCAGCCGTCTCTGTGCTACTGCGTGGCCTTCCTATGGCATCGGTAGCTCCACCGGCGATGACTGACCATTTCTTCCGCGCTGCTCATGCCGTCATAGGAGGCGGACCAAGTATAAAAGCACGCCTTTATTCGGAAGGGTTACACGTGTGGCTCATCAAAGTAATCTACAAGGTAAATCAGGCTTGCCATTTGAGCCCTTGTTCATTAGCTTTTGTTTCAAAAAGCACTTAAACATAAAAATGAATTCTCTCCAAAATAGGAGTGCAAACGTATGCATGAAGAAGAACAACAAGAAACGAGTACGGATCATTCATTTGGGACTCTGTTGCGCAGTTATGTTGGTAAGTAGATTACCTTGCAGTGCAGTTGCTGTAGACGTTTCATTTGGTTGT